TGTTCGTAATATAGAGGTGTTCGTAATATAGAGGTGTCTGTGATATAGAGGTGTCCATAATATAGAGGTGTCTGTGATATAGAGTTGTCTGTGATATAGAGGTGTCTGTGATATAGAGGTGTCTGTGCAAATAGAGGTGTCTGTGACATAGACTTGTCTGTGATATAGAGGTGTCCGTAATATGGAGTTGTCTGTAATATAGAGGTGTCCATACTGAAGGGGTTGAATTGGGAAGGGATTAGCCCTCCTTTCTTTAAAATGGAACTGAAAGCACTGAGACTGAGATTTACAAATACAAGAACAATAGAAACTGGGAATGGGATTGAAAACTTGAACAAAACCGATGAGATGGGGTGTTTTTTGCGTGGGATAAAAATGCTAAAATGGTATTCAGAACCCTCTGTAATACAGAGGTTCTTAACGTATTAGTGCCTGTAAGTAGATCGTTTCTTACCATAAATAACGAAATATCTTTCTTAATGTCCTTTTCAATGGTAATCGGTGTGTTCTCCTCCATGTTGAGATTCTCATCAAAACTATGAAATGCTTCCCCTATGGCTTGATGCCGTGAATAACCATCGAAACTATACATACAAAATTGCAATGTTCTCTCTGATAGCTCACCAAATGCCACATCGAAATCAAAACTCTCCTCAAAGATTGGACTAGCTGTTTTGTATTGTACTTTTGTTTGTTGTTTCAGCTCTCTATCAGGAAGAAGGTAGACTTCRACATARGTTGTTGGTTCAAATAATACTATTTCTGTAGCGCGAAGAACTGTCACTCTGAGACACTCTTTTACAGTATCATATAGGAAGGAAAAGTGCARTTTACCGACCCTTGGGATAACGGCATTTAAACCATCTTCTGAATCGGTTGTAGGGCTTAAATTACCATTAGGCCAGTCTTGAGTTAAATAGATATCAGATGATGAYCTGTCTGCTTGCATTAACGGTCTGTGTCTTCGTTGTTGAGGCGCGCGAGAGAAATCGCTCTCTCTAAAYGAAGGTGTTCTGTAGAGAATCTTTTGGTCATCGCGGGGGATTGCTTCGCGTCGTTGTCGAAAGTATTTGTAGAGCAGGAACAGGAATATAAATACGAGAAGACTTGCACATGCTATAGCAAACGCTATTGCTATCTTGACTTTTACATTTGCTAAAATTAGAAACAAATTATTAGAGAGGAATATTTAGACAGTAATTTTAATCCATTCCAAAAGCGGGCAGACTGTAAGAATGATTCAAATTATAGATAAGTAAGAAGTAAATGAATGAACAAAAACTGAATGAATAAGAAATGAATGGCAGACACAAAGACTCAGTAACTAGTGACTGACTGACTTCAACCATAAACTAACAGAATGAGATAAAATGGGCAGCTAATTAAAATGCACAATAACTTTGATAAATTTCAATCAAAATTCTATAATAGCAAAGGACACTTAATCATTTGTTCGACGGTCATGAGTTGAAGTACCACGATGTTTTGGCTGCAAACTGCTTGTATTCAACAAATGATACCTTTGTCTGGATGAACCGTTCACAGTCGAAATATCGCAGTACATATRAACATATGTTCTTCGTCGATGAACCAATGATTAAGCTCGAAATATATATGATACAAATATTCATCAAATAAGAAAACCATTTTTTACAGCACGCTTCACTGATCCATGCAGCATACTTCAAAACCTTTGAATTAAAGCCCCGWAAAACTTTATAATCTCTTGATASAAAGCAACAGGCTTTACCGAGACGAAATAGACGCTACTTTTGCGCCATTTACAAATTATACTAATAAAAAATATACTGAAGATTTCACTTAAAACTTGCTTGTATATGTGACATTTCTCATAATCATTGCGACGGCAAATGATTTATGATGTGATATAACTGATGCAAGACTACGAAAGTTTAACAAACTTTAAGAAACAAACAAATAGAAATGTAAAGATAATTCGTACAAAATCCCAGCATGTTCTGATGATGCAGCGCTTACAAAGAATAGCTAAGCAACCATAAAAAAGCTCGACTGCTAAAATTGACTTATTTTGGAGTCATTAGTGTATAAGATGTATATTTAAAGCTCTTGATATAAACAGTAAAGGTTGTGTTATATTGCGCAAATACATAAAAAAGAAAGGGATTTTGGGCATACACTGAAATGAAGCTTATATCGGAGGTTATACAATGTAAATTCCTTTTACAGTTCGAACTCAATTATAGTTCAATGACAAATTAACATAAATTCGATTAGGAGAACATTTACAGAATGCCTATCTCGTCCAGAGTGAAATTCAAGATTGATATATAGTTCATTGAACTTAAAAAGGTGATAGAAAACAAACGGAAAACACTGTTGAACTTTTTAACTATAATAGGATAAGATATCATATATTCGCTAATAATATTTATAGATTTGATGTGTTTACAGCTAAACTCTCTTATGTCTAAACTCGGTATATTTGCAGTATTTACCTTCAATGTACAATTTACGAAAATCCATCTACAATTCACATATAGTAATCCACATTTCATCTAAGCCCAGTTGTGAAAACATATACGAAAAACTTTCTCGCAATGTTTTCATTGATTTCCTTCTTCGATACAAAGGCGTCGCTTGAACAGCTCAGTTTTCTTTCAAGTTGTTGACAAGACAGCAATAATATACTGCTGTTTTTAAACAGTTGAGATTTCACTTCAAGTTTCCATAGTTATATGTGACAAGTTGAAGGGTTTGCGATTCAAAAGATTCAGTTTTTGTCGTCGCAGCTAAAGCTGTGATAATTAATTTATTCATTATTCCTAAGAGGAGTCTTGGTGATATTTGTGATGGCTTTACTAATACAAAGAGATTATAATTAGCTGTAACAAAAGACTGAACCATTTACATTGAGCACATTAGACATTAGACGTTTGAAAGGGACACTTAAGGGAAACTAACAATTTTCAAACTACGATTCCTAGAGAAAAATCTCCTATTGCACAAAGTTCATTTTATAAGTGAGGTTCTTTTTAACTTATGCCCTTACGAGATTTTAATGTCATGCGTGCCAAACTATACTAACATACGTCTGAAGGACAAATATAAATCAAGAAGACGTTTCATGTCTTGTTGTAAGAAATTCAAAGACAAATTTCATGTCAGCTATTTCAAATAAGTGATATAACTAGTGATGTAACCCTTTTGTCCGTAAGATCAAAGCTTCTTTTGTTAGTTTTTGTTTACAAAGACTGTTTCTATAATGCATTCGATGAAGCATAAAGGTCTCGATGAAGCGTAGATACACATTTCATAATCGGGCTTCCTTTGGTAATGATAGTTCTTGCCCGCATTGACTCATGGGCAACACGCTGAATCATGGAAGGAAACTAACCCTAACCCTAACCCTAACCCTTTGAAACGATCTCCAGAAGTCCATAAATAGKAAGAAACTATAAAGTCTTTCACATTTCCAATATCCAATGTAGGCAATAGCGGATCTAGAACGTTACCGGCGACTCAAAAAAATATCAAATGGGAAATTAAATTTCGTTCAGAAAAACGCTGCTTTTGTGTTTCATAATAAGTCCCATTCAGATTTCATTTCTCCTGTTATTTATCAATATCAAGACGAAATATTCCTATTCTAACATTGTTTTTACTCTACAATGGGGAGTGCCTTGCCACCCTAGAATCACCCCCCCCCCCCTTGGACCCGCCCTTGGCAGGGGTGGATAGCATTGTGTTAATAGTATAGGACAAATGTTTTCTTTCTTGATTAGTTTATGCTAATGAGGCAYTTTTATACAAAACCCTTTGAATTATACGAACAATAAGCAGCCATTATTCTAGATAGTTAATGGCATAATTTTGGTAAGAAGGAATTTAGACACAAAATTTATTAATCGAACTATAAAGAAGAAATTTCAGTATTTCGTTTCGCGAAAACCTTTAAAAGATTGATGTTTCAAAAATACTGAAATAATGTAACTTAAATTACACAAATGAAAAAAAAACGAAATTAAAAAAAGGAAATTTTATTATGTAGGATGAAATACTTCTCTTAAATGCTTTTTAGAAGAAACATATTGCCTAACACGTGACTGCAAGCTCCAGATCACCACCCTTTGAATAAGGTTTATTTGAATAGAGACAATAGAGAAAATTCCACAAATTTACGCGCTAAATTTCACCATAATATGTACAATATCAAAGCAATCATTTCATTCGAGCTCTTTTAGAACCGATGTTTATAAAGTTTTATAACTTTTGCAGTAAAATTGTGCTCAATTTTGGAATGTGCGTGGGACCATCGTTCCAGTGCAGTGATTTGAAGGGGATGTCAACATTTCTAATCTTTAACACTGAATAGTCTTGCTGAATTTGTGATTAGATATGTATTAGTAATATGCTAGTATGATCGTATATTATATTTGTAATATAATAGTATTTATATGATATATTTCAATTAACTTCGCAGTTCCGCATTATTGATTTCTTAGGAGGTGACAACCTATATTAGCTTGTTACCAAAACACCTTCTGGACTTTTTATCAACTTTAAAAACTTATAATCGTACATTTATGCATGTATTGTACGTTGTAGTAGATGTTGCTAACGCATTTTTAGCCTTTGCGTTGACTAATGCTATCTAATTAATTCTTTAGAGTTTGCAGACTGATATAGCTTCCATATCGAAGTATAAATTATAGACCTATCTATTGCTCATATATCCCTGATCTAAATACCAGCTTACTCTAGATTGTATTGATAGTAATAAACTACAAAGAGTTGCTAAACATTATTATTAATTTGAACGACTTACATGAGGTTTTACCAGCAGGAGAATCTCCTCTGATAGCGTCGTATAGTTGTCTGTGTTGGTACCAATTCGCCGGTAAAATCACATCACTAGTTACGTTCATTACTATAAACTCTTCAGAACTGTTAAAAGCTTAGTAAAACGCATCGTACAGGGCAACAATTCTTGATTCTCTGCTCTTGTTGGCGCCTTTCTCTAAGCCATGGCAAGTACCTATGAAAAAAGACAAAAGTTTACAAACTCGATATTAAAAGTCTTGAACCATTCTCAAACAATGTGCTGGATGGTTTTAAAGGGGRCTAAGATTGAATACAGGGAACTTATTGAGTAGGATTCACTTACAGAGCGGCAACTCCTCGGAACATCAAAACATCTTTCCCCCAAAGTGTTCCATACTAGTGACCATGAACAAAGACTTTAGACTTCATCACCAAACCGCGATTCACAACCCAAACATGAATAAACATAGATCTCTCTCTCGATATGCAAATTCCACAGGGGTTGTATTATAATAGATCGCATGAATGGATTTGCTTTGTTTGCTAAGCGACTGACTTCAATAAGAGTGTGTTATAATTGCATTTGGACGTCTTCACTTCAATGGGACAAAATTATCGTTTGAGACGAAAAATCGTTTAGCACGACTCTCCATTTTGAAAACAGAACGATATGATCCTACTCTAGATAACTTAGATATTTTTACCAGAGTGACGAGAATCAGAATACCACACAATTAGATGTGAAAGCGGTATTCCTGTTGAATTCCTATCTGAAGAAGACCTCGAAAGTCGAGTTTTTTTTATCTGAGAGGAAAAATCATGTCTAGTGTAACAACAATGTTTTATGCCAGAAGGGTGTATTTTCAATTAAGTTAAGATTCGCTGTCRCCGTTCTACAATTGTACTCGATCATAAATATAGATTCTGGAGATGATTGAATTTAATAGGAGAAAATTAATCGATAATTATTATAAATCAAATACTACACAAAAATAATGCAGAAAACAAATAGACAAAGTAAAGTAATATACTAAAAAAAAKCTTCACAGGGAAAAAGCAGAAGGATCTTTAGATCTATACTATTTTTTTCATAAAAGATATATTAAGTAAGATTAATTAGACACACATAGTATCATAGGTTAACAATAGTTTTTTAATGGACAATACAATAAATGGAGGACATAACTGAAGCCTATTACTGGTATTAATCTTTAAAGAATCTATTAAAAAAAAAGATTGAAGAAGACCTATGGGAGCGTTATTGTATACCYATCCCCTAGTTACCTAAGGGGCTTGATTGGAATGGCAGTTTTCCTTTGACCTATTTTAATTAACGCTGCGTGCAAGTCCAACTGATGACACGTGATCCTATATCCGTCTATCGTATTCGTAGCGTTTTTTGCATTGATTTTCACGATTTTTTTGAGGTTTGAGGACTGTATAAAAACGCTGCAAAAACTCACTCTAATAATTGATATCACACTTTGAATCTATTGTTTACGTTTTTTGTTAAAAATAAAAATACTAAATAGCTATTTTTATTTCAAGGTAAATAAAACGATTCTAGCTGCGAGAGTTCCCCTCAGATAAGATGGAAATCTAGACATAAAGGGCTACTTTKWTGAGAAAGGCTSTTCCTTGGAAAATAATTTTCGAGGCAAAAAGCAACARCMTACTGAATCATGCCCAATACATAGAGACACTCTGATTCATAAAACAGACAAACCCAGACTTATTCTTTCCATAAATACCTTAGAAAACTCGACTGAAATTGAATTGGAATACTGTTTGTTGTAATCTCCTGCATATGTTTTTTTTCAGTGTCTGGAACGTTGATGTGTTTCAAACGACCATCGTGCACATTAGTAGTAGGATCGGGTAAGTGATTGTCAGATTTCGAAAGTAAAGTTTCGCTATTTCAGTCTCGAAACCGATACATWAGCCATTGTCCTGTTAAAGATGTGAGAGAATGAGTACTAGTWAACGTTGGCTTTCGTAAGTCGCCAAGCATCCAATCAAAAATAACCTGATTACGTCATTGTCTCAGTACTTGAAATATTTTGTCCTCAAGTTTTTCTTTTTTTTTATATCGACGAAAATATTTCTCTTTAAACTCAGTATTTTCCATAAAAACCTTTCAAATTGTTAATGACAATTATGGCTTAGGGTTGTCTCCAAGTATTTTAAAACATATTTATTTGGAACCGGCTTTTTCTTGATAATTTGTTTGCCTGGTTTGAGCTTTGATTTTTCACGCGCTTTTAGAATGACGTAGATGCGCTCTTTTTTGACGAATTTAAGACGTAAAACACGCTCAAAGACCTTACTTTGTTTTTGTAAAGCAGCAAATTTGTTGGTTTTCTGCATACAGAAGAGGGTATTTTTTATCAAAGAATGATCAGAGGTTGGACAAGTCATCCTTTGTGTAGTGTGAATGCTTTTTGTTATAATTGTAAGCCCAGTCTATGAACCTGACGTCAGTATWCTCAGCCATACGTAATAACTCGTTGCACCTCTTTATACCATCTATTTATAGCAAATAAACACAGTGGCTTGTAACTGGTGATAAAACAGTGTGAGTTCCGTGGGCGTATCTCAGTTTTTACAAGAGAACTTGACGTAAATTACATTAAAATACTCAGTTATAAATAACAACTCTAAAACAACACGTATCATCTATTTGAAGAAAAAATAATGCGTAACGTGGTGGGTGTATGTAATATTACTTATTTAAAATACTATAACGGCAGTTAAATGATAGATTCCCCTCCCCCTTCCAAAAAAAATTTAAAAATAAAAATAAAAGAGCTTTATACGTTTCAATATCCCTCTTTTCGAAACAACAAATATAAAACAAAGGCAAACTGTCAGTATGAACGTGGAAAACATTACAAATCACTTCATTGCTTGATGGAACATTTGCCGTTTCTAAAACATTTGCTTCAGCAAACACTAATTGTTTTAGTTGRTATCCAATTTCCATCACATTTTTCAAATACGTTTGTATTATTCGTCTTCCCTTATTAGCACCTTGTATATACTCCTTATTTAAACACGTCATGAATGCGCTAACTTCTRTCAATTGAATAAAAAATAACCACAGACAAAAATTATCGCCTTGAACTGGCCACTCATGGTCTGTTGCTACCAGTATCAGTCTGTTATTGACAAGAGAGCGATATTGTTCAGTACTAGWGCCATTATATTAACATTATAAATCACAGGACACAAATATACAACCATCTACTTTGCGTAACAGTACTAAATCAATGAAAAAATGGTTTGCAAATATGCTCTGTTGGGATTTTCACAAAGTATTGTCAGCTTAAGTTAATGGGTTAATGGGATACGCCAGGACAGGCCAGACTTTTGCTGTTCTTCAACGCTGTCTTGTTACTGTTGTTGTCAAGGACTTGATCGTCGTTAACTATTGTGCGGTCAAGACGTTTAAAAAAATAAACAATCGAACAAAGAAAGTTGTGCAACTCAGTACTGTATATAAGGGGCAACCTAAGTGGATTTCACTCGATACAAAGGACGTAGCATAACAGTGGATTGGACTCTGGTACTATAAACTGTACAAGGTACTTAGTGCGTCAACTTCGTTAAAACATCGTCAAGGAATATACAGATATTCAAGTTTCTTTCATTCTGCGGCCCTTGTCATTACATCTTACACAAGCAAGTACAAAGATGCAGTATTCATAACGACAAGACAAATCCATGAGTAACTAAAAAACTACAATAGTGTAGGTCTACGTTTTGATGTCATCTTTATAGAAAGAAAAGTAGGAAATTATTCTAAGTTTTCGCAGTTCCTACAAACTCATCATACTTGTCTGTACCTTGAATCATCTTTTGGTATGACAAAGAACAAAGCTAAGAAACGCGTGRCTTTACCAGAAATTACAGAAACTCTGATTTCAAGATGTTCCTCTSAGCTAYGTTCCGATGGAGAACTGAATGAYACGACTGKAAGAGGACATGCAAAAAATCATGMTAATAAAGTGGAGTACTTYAAGCTGCCTGTCTTAGTATGGCCTAAAGAGGAAGCCAATATTTTTCGTTCTTCTGATAGTAACACTCTTTGCCTTTCAAAAACAGAGCCTATTGCTGAACATAAAGCTCCTGATAATTTRAAACAAGAGCTACAAGCRTTAAAAGAAGATTTAAAGCAACTTGGGACTTATCAAAGCCCGCCCGCTTCTAGTGGTGATGTAAGGAAGTCTTCTGAGATGTACCAAGAGGAGCTGAAGGGTTTGAAAGAAAARATGAAGCAAGTTGTACTTGAATCAAGGGATATTATCTTAGAGGTTCGAATACGCGACGAAGAATCAAAGAAACTAGCGAACGAGGAGAAGAAAGCAGCTAGAAATGCTGCGAAACTTGTAGATAAAAACGAAACGTCTAATACCACACTYAGTAAAAATAATTCCTTAAAGAAATCAGTAAATACTAAACGTGTTATGGAACATGAAAATAGTAGAGAAAGTATTCTATCAAATGGTAAAGAATTAGGAGACTCAGACACGGAATCCATATCATCAACTCACAGCCATCAAGATGATACTGTATTCAGCGATGGGTCATTGTCAAGCACCGAAAAGACCGTCATTACAAAGAAAAAGCACAAAAAGAACCGATTAAACAACAAAAGTAGAAACGACTTRAAAGACAAAAGAGTTAYAGCAGTAAATGGCTTCCTTAATGACGCTGGGAGATCGAAAAACAAAAGAAATGTCGTCGCTAACTTGAGGCCAATATCAGAGGAAGGAGGGACACTRKCYAACAAACCAAAAACACCACAAAATATCAATGAACTCAAGAAAAACGAGCTTACAGATGYGKATAAAACACGAYATAATAGTATAAATGAAGAGAGCAAACAAGAGGACATTGACAATAGAAATGAAGACCAAATAAAATATAAAAAYGACGCTTTTCATAATGAGAAGATTTACAGTAATGAGGACGTTATGCCAACAGATTCAAACATCAACAATGAAGAACAAACAGGAGAAAACAATTTCCAAATCAGAAATAATGAAGTGCAAGGAATCACTACTGAAGAAGTTGACTTTTTTAACTCACAACGAATTCGTAGACAAAATAATAACGATCTTTTCGACAATAGACTCAACGATTTAGAGAGCGTCTCGAGTAAAGTCACGAGTAGGCGTTCAAGCTCTGTTGGWCTTCCTGGAAATAGAGTCAAYGATAAAAAGTTTTACCTGGACAGATATCGAGTTCCTAAACAACCAATGGAAATTGCCCTACAACTACATAAACTTGGTTTCGAGTTTGAATCCAARAGAGTTCGAGATCTGTWTGCAGCAATACAGACATGTGAAAGCAATATCAAAAAGGCTATATCACAAGAAAAGAGGGATGTCATTGAGGAGCGAAAGAGAATTGAAAGAGAAGCAAGAGAAAAGGAAAGACAAGCTGCTCAAAGACGAAGAATGGAAGAGAATGTAGCGAGGGAAGCAAGGCGCAAAGAGCAAGAGGCCATCCAAAGAGAGCAGCGCCGRAAAGCTGCTATTGAGAGACGAAAATACAACCTTGAATTGCTGAGAAATATCAACAATACGATATTGCAGTCCAAAGCTTCTCGATCTTATCGTTTTTCTTATTTTCCTTATTTACCACCACCAAAAAGACAATCTCTWGCACCYTCRCCAGATTCCTCTGAATGTAATTCGGACGATTGTGAATTTTCCAGCGACGAGGAACCCAAAGAACCAGTCCATGATAAGCCAGTGAAATCTAGATCGGCATGTCATTCGGCAAGAGGACAAAACCGATAAAATAACTTTTCGCATGGAAGGCTGGAACTGACTTTTCATCTACTTATCAATGCTTGTCTTATTGATCAGATTCACTTCATTGTTGGCTTTCCAATCTACGTTTTTGTTTGACTTTGATACTTTAGATAGAGTTTTGCAAGAAAATCAAATAGCGACAGTTGTTCTGAGCGTTTCAAACAGTAATAACTAATGGATTATGGACATTACGGTCGTTGTAAAGAGGTTAAATGGGTCGTTGTAAAGAGGTTAAATGTCATAAAGAGTTGCAGCATCACCCTCAGTCAACTCTGGACTTGCGAACACCCTGATATCACGGACATCCCGATATTACGGACGCTTAAATAATGTTTTAAATGAATTGCTGAAAATAACTCCCCTTATCGATAAACCTCGGACACTTGAACCGAACCTGCTGAAGGTGTCCGTAATAATAAGACTTGGCTGTAATCTAGATACACTGATTGGGCCATTGATTTGTGACAGGCACTATCAATGAATTAACCAATGCGCATGCTCAAATCAACAGACAGGTTTAATAATCAGACTCCTATATATAGCAAATCACGTGATACAAATASGTGCATGTATTTTTGTAACCAAGGCAACAAAATGAATTACATCAAGGGATATCATATGCGTGTTAGTTCATTTGTTTTAGATTTTGTTTCACGGGTTGAGGTTAGACGTAAAAAAAAAACGTGAAATAGATATTAGACTAATACACCTTAACTCGCTCTAATTGCATTGTTTTCTTTTATATCAATACACTATCACAACCTGATTCTTAGATTATGTTCTCTGTTAGTTTAAACAGCTTTCATATTTATATACCCTTTTCTGATAACTAATATAACTGATCATTGATAGCATAGTTAACTATTAACTATATTGACAGTGATCACAGAACGTAAATGACACAAAAACCGCATTAAAAAACAATTGAAGAAAAAATGCAGAAAAAGAAAACATTTTAAACAAAAGAAGTAACGAAGAGATCTGTTCAACTGTTCTATTTATAAAGCAATGAGCTAATAAACCCTTAAGACTCCTKGACGACCAAACAAGAGAGATGTTTATTTAACAAACCCAATGACAATCMTTGAGGGATATATCTGTAAAGGATTTCAAATCCCACAAATACCATACACGTTATAATCCAACAGAGATTCATTGTATCGGATTTGAGGAATAACGATGATATGTGGAGATTGTGAATTCATTAAARGTGTCTGTAGCTAGTAGAAACGCCAACAAACTCCTGTAAAGAAAGCCGTTAATCTCAACTCAATCGATAAAATATCTGCCTTTTTTCTCACTTCTCATCGGCCTAAAAACTATACTTTTCAAAAACATTTTTAAAGAGATTCAAGAGTACAAGGTATGCGAGGATTTCAAGAAGAAAAGCGGTCACATCATTTAGAAGATAGAAACGTATAACTTAGAGAAATTTAATTCAATGTAAAAGATCCCAGATCAAAKAGCATCTCAACACCAACAACGACAGAAAAAAGACTTTTGAATACTTTGGACTTTGGAACACAAGCTTAGTGYAATTATTTGGTCAGTGAACAAGATCATTGAAAATATTTGTCTTGTAACAAAGTTGCTAAAGACTGAATTCCAGTAAGTCTTAAACAAAACGTTTAATGGTTAGTGGAAAGGAGAAAGTGTATTTCAAGTCATTCAAYCTTCCATGACAATTTCAAGGAATTTAAAGTGAATAGGCAACTGAGAATCACTTCGACAAAAGAAAGAGGAAACCAAGATAAAGAACGAGATACAAAAATATTTCCACCAGAGGAACCAATACCTTGTAAACACAAACTGAAGTACAAAACCTGTTATCAAGACAAACTAAGAAAASACATTAAAATGGATCTCTTTTCAAACGAAGACAGTAAAAGAGATTCTTTCCTGCCATCGTTAGATRTGACAGCATTTAGAAATGGTCAACTCAGACTCCCTTCAGGTCGTCGAAGTAGTATGCGACTACCAAGTCTTGGCTCAATTATCGAATCAGAACAAGAGAGTCCATCCTTTGACAGTAACGATTCCGCTTTTGAAGAATCGTCTCAATTTACTTCTGGAAGAAGCTCAACTCTGGGTGGAGCGGATAGCAACATCAGCTCCTTAACGAAGACCATTGTATTGGAAGAAGACGAAGAAAAAGATATCGAAAAAAAAGTTAAACAAGAATTTAAACAGGAATTCCGCAACATCAAAGCACAAACAAAGGAAAAACAGAGAACTTTAAGAAAACAATTCAAATCGAAGATCAATGCAGCGCGATCAAAGCTTCTTCTTGCACGTGCGAACGCCGAGAAGGAAACAATCGAGAAATTACGAGAAGAAGCCGAGAAAAGAGAAGCAGCCATCATCAATCAACGTAAAAAAAGGCGCAATTCGACGATATTCAAGAATGTGTCTGAATTGTACACACCAGAGGAAATGGCAGCGCTAAGAAAGGTTCGRGGTGAGTTAGACCGAGCGCGAGCACGAAGGCGAAGCACCATCGCTACGTCATTGATTATCTCAAGACACAAATCAATGAAAACAGGACCTGGACTTCTACCCGACTATGAAGTGCGACGAATGGAAAAAGAAGACGAAATACAGAAAATAGTCGAAGAYCTAAAGACATTAGGGTTAGATGATGCAGCGAAGACCTTAACAGCATCTTTAGAGAATAAAATGAGCTCTGAGGAACAACTCGTGGAGAATCTTAAACAAGAAAGACAACAGGCGAAATTGAAAGCCTTAGTAAAGAAGAACATGGCTGTCGAYAAACTAAGAAAAATWAAAATAGAGGAGAAAGAGATGCTTGAACGGGAGAGGCTTAAACGAGAAGCAGAAGAACGAGAGAGGCTGGAAATAGAGCGAAGAATTCGCGTCATGAATGCTTTAAAAAGAAAAGCTTTTAATATTGATTTGAGGAATAGCTTACTCCATGCCAAGCTGACAACTAAAGTCTCGAGAGCATATACATACTCGTACTTTGACTCACAACAATGATGCAGTCTATTACTCAATGGACTGCCACAGCCTGATAAACTATACGTACTAACTTAGAATAGAATAGAATAGAATAGAATAGAATAGAATAGAATAGAATAGAATAGACTAGAATAGTTTATTTTTCTCTTCAATTGTTGTTAAAATTTTTGCATTGTATTAGGTAAGTGTATCAGCTTAAACGTTTCTTATAAATTTACGTTTTCCTAATTTGATATAGATGAGTAGAGACATATAATAGATCAAGTCTTGTAGTTTTAATTAAACGAAAAACAATAGAAACTAGGATGACCTTGATATACATTAACCTAACATCGATATTATTCAATATCAGCAGGCAAAGTACGAATAATATGTCATTATATGACTAAAAATGGTATTTATCAGGATAATCTATTAGTTATCTATTAGGAATACCATTTATATTWCTATTTGTTTACGACGTGGCTACGTTTATCAGATCTAACTTATGTTATACAGTGGGACCTCAAAAGGGACATGGAAAGGTGGTCGTATTGATGAGGTGGCCGTTTTAACAGAGCTTGAAAGTCTGATGAAAGTTAGGTGGGACAAAAAGCTGGACGTTATAATGGAGTGACCGTATTAAGCGGGTGGCCGTAAGGTGGGGTTCCACTCTAGTTAAAAATACGAAAATGTAAACGCCTTTGACAATCGTGTGTTCATCTTGGACGCCATAACCCATGATTGAAGCTCAAGATTATGTGCTCTTCTTCTTAAAAGCGCCATTAACTGTTTCCTCTTTTCTTCCTCAAGTCTTATCTTTCTTAGTCGCTCTTGCTCTATCCTTTCTCTTTCRTTCCTTGCTTTTTCCTCCAGTCTTTCTTTGCGCAGACGTTCAAGKGCTCTTTGCTTTGCTCTTTCTTTTCTTGTTCTCATGTAATCTTGAATGGATTGCTCTTCTTGTTCTTTAACAGAGAGAGCATTAGTTAGTGTCCGTGCTTCCTCGTGAAGGCCATGGTCGTATATCTCTAGTATTAAACTATGAAATTCYCGGTCGCGTTCGAGTCTTCTCAGCTGTAGATGAAGCAGGGCGTCTTTTCTTTGTTGATCTTTTTGTTTCATACGCATGGCAGATTTTCTTTGCCGCTGTGAACGTGCGCGCACTCGATCTAGTTCAGATTGTATCTTTCTCAAGTGCCCCATCTCATTCGCCCTCTCCTTCTCGTGGTCTTTAGAGCATAAKGATACATTCTCAGATGTTCCTCGAGCAAGTTTTCTACTCTTCAATCTACTTCGTCTTTTAAGAATTTCGGCTTGTTTCTCTTCAATMGCTCTCATTTCATCTTTAGTTTTCTGTTGCTCAGCTTTYACTTTAGCTTTTAGGAGTGCGTCTCTCGCYTTCTCGAGAAAAACGCGGAATTTCTTCTTTACTGTTTTGTTTCTCTCATGTGCTTCTAAAAACATTTTCTTGTATTCATGTGTTAGTTGTCCTTTGACTATTTTGTAGATTTGCCTCTCTTCTTCATCAGTGAGGCTAATCTTTTCTGGTTTTATTTCTAAATRCTCTTCTGCAATCTTTTCTTTTTTAGTACCGTTCTTTTCCTCGATAATTAGTTCTTTCAATGCAAGATCAATTTCTTCAAGCCAGTCTTCTCCAATAATTGTTTCCCCGCATGAGCTCACAATACCGATAGAGGAACTCCTACCTGATGTTGATTCCTGGACCGTTGATGGTGCGTCRTTTGGAAGTTMTTCTGTAGTTACTTTRAGCAAAGGTAGTCGATGTTCCGTTGGTACTTGCAGAAAATCTGTTCGGAGTTCTGTAGGCATTTTTAACGAAGGTGGTCGATGTTCTGTATGTTCTGTAGGGATTTCCAGCAAAGCTGGCCGATGTTCTGCAGGGACTTCCAGCAAAGCTGTTCGGTGTTCTGTTTGGACTTCCAGCAAAGCTGGCCGATGTTCTGTAGGGATTTCCAGCAAAGCTGACCGATGTTCTGTAGGGACTTCCAGCAAAGCTGGTCGATGTTCTGTTGGGACTTCCAGCAAGGATGGTTGATGATCTTTGGGGACTTCCGGC